AAGACTTATATTTTCATACTTTTTTCCGTTTTATTAATATAAGGAACAACTTTAATTTTGGTTCTAGATTCGCCACCGTATAACATACCATAAAAAAAAACATGGGAAAGTAAAACGAATTCAAATGGTAAATGTTGACTCAATTGGAATTACTTGGCCAAACAATGCATGAAATGAAATGGTCTCGACAAGTCAATTAGCTTTTTATATTCAATTGCATTGTATCTAGTTGCAATATGGAAAGTTGGCTGATCAATTTTCTTTGCTGACCCATGTGCTGATGACGTAATAAATGGTAATACTACTTTAATTCGGTAACCGGTGTAACAAATATCATTATCATAACCACCCAACTGTCAAAACGTTACAAAAGATATGATAATTTCGAAAAAAAATAATTATAAAATCTACTTGACTAAGTAAGTATAATAATTGCAATAACCATTAAGTACAAGAATTATACTAAATTAAAAGTAAAACAAATTATTGATGTCCTCTATATAATTTTCGTGATTTATTTAATATTTGAAGACAAATAGATTTTAGCCATTTACTTTGAATTGTATCTGACCATTCAAATAGTCAATGAAAAGTCGTCACCCGTCGTCGTCCAGGCCTCCACCCTCTGCATAGACCGGCTGTTTAGTTTGTTAATTGTATTTATTAGATTTATGTACCTGTATTTGTTGGATTTTTTTCGGCAATTATTGAAAACTATTTGTAACAGGGTAAAATTCTAAGCTTTCCAAATTTATTTCAAGATTATTTTAAATAAATATACTACTATTAGTTAATTTTTTTATGAATTATATAATAAAATAAACTCTTATGTTTGAATGAAAAAAAGTATATTATTTGACAACAACGTTACAATAATATAATATTTCGTGGTCCGAATATGTCGAGGGAATTTACATGGAAATAACAAATAAGAAGAGACTATTCTTTACTAGAAGACTAAATTACAAAATGGTGTATATAGTTTGTCATTTGGTTTGATCGAAAGTCTAAACTTAAAAATGTTGTAGATTTTATAATTTTTGTGATTTTGTCTATTTTGGTTGCAGAATTGATGCCAATCAAAGTTAAAAAAGATTGTTATATATATATATATATATATATATATATATATATATATATATATATATATATATATATATATATAAAAGATTAAATGATAACCCAAAAGGTTAAAAACCATTTAAGAACCATTTCATTAAAGGTATTTTGGTCAATTTACATCTTTTCTTATCATTTAACATCACATTTAAGCATTATTACCAAACACTCTCTCATAAATATTCAACTTCTCAACTTTCAAACACTTCTTTTGTTCTATAACATCCGCCTTCACCTAACTCTGGCAACTGTACAACACCGCCGCCACCAACCTCCGACGATTATCCACCACCGCCACCTACCATCTCCGCCATGTTGTTGTCTACTGACGTCGGATAAACTCATTATCACCGTCTTACGTCCTTCTCCGACGACTTCCAACATATCTAAAGGATTCTAGAGGTTTTTTCTCATTGTCGGTGATGTTCCTAGTCCAGATTTATCCAAATTCGGTCAGATCTAAAACATTCATCTCAGAACTAGAACATTTTCTTTCAGATCTGCTTCCATCCCCCTCACCACAACCTCTTGCCATCAATGTCGATCTAGCAACCACCGACATCTAACCTTCTGCTCTGGAGTCGCTAACTTCAGATCTAAAACATCTGCATTCAGATATACCCTCATCGTCGATGTCATCCTTCTATAACTTCAGATATGTGATTTGTGCTTCATTCCCGACCACCTTTCGACCTCTGATCTTTCCACAACACCAGAAAACATCGTGTCTCCTCCCTCAACCTTTCTAATCTGAAGTCAAAGATGCTGGAAAAGTCACTGACCGCTGCCATCAACCTTTTAGATCTGAAGCAAAAATGTACCGATCTCTCAAATTTGGTTAGATATGGTCAAATCTGATGTGTTTGGTGTAATTAGACGCATAGATCTTGTATGTATGAAGCATTTCATGGTGGCCACCAGTGGTTCCACCACTTTTTCATCTCTCTTCTACTATCACCACCTCCTCACCTCAGATTGTCGGAAAACTCATTAACTACCATTAATATTTTAGATCTGAAGTCAAAGGCACAACGATTTCTCATATCTGGTTCGATCTGTTGTGATCTTAAATATCCAAAGACTTTAAGAAACATGACAATCTTAAATCTGTACATCACATTATATCTTAAAACAATATGCACACAAGGTGTTTGATGAAATGCTTCAACTAGATTTGTAAGTTTTTAAGTTATGAATAAGTGTTTAAAATTTTATATTAAGCTGTGAATTACTGTTTGAAGTGTGTATCATACTATGAATTCTGATTTTTCGAGTCATTAAGTTGTCAAATTTAGTGTTTGCAATATTTAATTAAGCTTTGAATTAGTATCTGAAATGTTTTATTAAAATATGAAGGGTTTTTTTTAATCCAAATTAGAATTCTATACATGTAAATGATACATGAATGTAGTGTATTAAACTATGGATTTTGTATATTAACCTGTGAACTTTATTAATAACTTAATATAATAAATTCACATTTAATACACATAAATGCCTTAAGATATAAACGTATAAAAATCATAGTTTTAAGTTGAAAATATGGTTGTGAACACATAATTTTTGTGTATTAAATTATAAATTTATCATATTAAACTGTCAATTTTGTGTATTATAGTGTGAATTGAATATATTAAACTATGAATGTTTTATCTAAAGTTATAAATTCAAATTTTAAGTTAAGAATATATAATATTCATGTGTATTAAATTATGAATTTGTTATATTAAGTTAATTTTGTGTATTAAACTGTAATTTATTGTATTAAGTTGTGAATCAACTATATTAAGTATAATTTTGAGTCAAAACACTAATGATTTATGTATGAATTTTTGCATTAATTTTCTTATCAATATATTTATTTTTGTGTTGTATAAGTATGTAAGAATATATATTAAATTTTAGATTATTGTTTTGCATTAAACTCAAAGTGAGTGAATTAATATGTTTACTAAATTGCGAATGTAGTGTTTAAGATTAATATAATAAATTCACATTTTAATATACATAAATGTCTCCAGATATGAACGTATAAATATAAGATTTAAGTTGAGAATATGTCTATGAATATATAATTTTTGTGTATTAAACTGTGAATTTGTTGTATTAAACTTTCACTTTTGTATATTAAATTGTGAATTGATTGTATTAAACTATAAGTGTTTTATATGAAGTTATAAATATAAGTTTTAAGTTAAGAATATATAACATATTTGTGTAATAAATTATAAATTTGTTATATTAAGTTGTGGATTTTATGTATTAAATGATAATTAACTATATTAAGTTGTGGATTTTTTATTTAATTTTGTGTTAAAATATTATGTATGATTTTTGTATTAATTTTTTTATGAATATATTTATTTTTTTGTTGTATAAGTATGTAAGAATGTATTAGTTTTTAGATAATTATTTTACATTAAATTTAAAGACCAAAGTGAGTGAATTAATATATTTATTAAATTGTAAATAAAGTGTTTAAGCTGTAAATGCATGTGTTTATATACATATATAATTTTGAATGAATGATGGCTGCGAAGGTGGCATAGATGGTTGACGACAACGTGTAGTGGTGGTGATAGTGTTTTGGTTTAACTTCTCTAGATATGTACATTAGTGTATAATAGATTGTATTAAGTTGTGAATTTTATATATTAAATTGTAAATAGATTATTTAAGTTGTATTTTATATCAATTGTGTATTTAAATATTAATGAATGTATAAATGAAAATATTAAACTATAAGATTTACGAATTTACCATTTTCTTACCAAAAAAACAAATATCATGATTTTTAACATATTTAATAAGTATTCATAATGTGTGTGTGTGTGTGTATATATATATATATATATATATATATATATATATAATATATATATATATATATATATATATATATATATATATATATATGGTGAGACTCAATAGAGAACCATTATTAACAAGGAACCAAAAAACCATCGTGACCGTCGAAACACTACTAGAAAAAAGACCTTTAATGACGCGCTTTTTACGACACGCGATAATTAACGATACGCAAAATAGTGTTATCTCTCCAAAAAATTTAAGTATTTACGTCACGCTTTATTGCGTGCCCTTAATTTAGTGTCTCAAGAAAAAAAATTAAAAACACGGAGGGCACTTTATCTTAAACGCGCGTCGTCTGTACCTGTCGCTTTATAATTTTAATGAAACGCGCTTTTAGTAGACAAGGGGGGAAATGAAATCCCAAAATTTTGAAAACCCGCCTTTTTTCTATCTTCTATCTATCTTTCATCTTCAACCTAACAAGGACGAGCATTGCACTCTTGATTTCCCTAACTGTTTGCGTGCCCTTCCTTTCCCTCTTGTCTCTCTCGGTCGCTACCTAGGGTTTTTATTGAAAGCTTGAATCGATCGACTGAGGTAACCAATGGTCAAGCAAACCGGGAAAGGGTTTTCAGTGAAATATACTGTTACTCTTTGAAATCGGTTCTAATCCTACCTTCGCCCCATCCTTTTTGTCTCTATCAGTTGCTACCTAGGGTTTTTCGTGAAAGCTTGAATCCATCGACTAGGGTAACTAAAGGGTAGGCAAACCGGGAAATGGAAGCAATAAATCCAACATTCACTCTCAAATCGATTCTACTGTACAAGGTTTCAATTTGGGGCTCTCTACATTCTTATCGATTCTACTTTCATTCAAGCTTACATCGGTTTTTTTGGTATACAGTAACCGAAGGTTACATTCTCATCGATTCCACTTTCTCTCTCTGAAGAAAATATCTCATATTTTCAAAAAGCCCTAAACCAGCCACCGCCGGCTATCACTTCCACCATCGTTCACGTCGTCCTACTTCCCAGATGGTGTGTGTGTGCGCGGCAAGACTGAACAGAAAATGGGAAAGAAAAGAAAACATGAGGTGAAAGATAGAGAAGAGATTTTAAGGCCGAGGGGAGGATGCATCGGAGCTGTGGTACTATTCTTAAGGTCTTTTCAAAATACAGTAACCTTATTATGGGCTTGAAGAAAAAGATGATCGTTTTCTTTGTTTTGCAGTTCTAGATGGTATGGGTTCACCCTGATATGGTTTAGAGAAGTGTACGTCATCTCTGAAGATCACAATCATCCATACCTTATTTTTAATTTTGCTCTCTCTCTCTATCTCTCTCTCTCTCTCTAAACATTTCCTTTCTTCTTTCTTTCTAAAACCCTAGCCTATCATCATTGCAGAGGAATTTTCGTGTTGCTTTCCACCATTTGTGCTGGACAAGACCAGTTTTCACTAGACCAAGCTTTGAATTGGAAAAAAAAATAGTTGTGGTTAAACTTGGTTGTTGGTTCCATTGAAAATATTAAGTCGGAGGTTGTCCTAAAAGTTGAAGGTATTGTTGTTGAACTTATGAAAGGGGGGCCTAAAAGTTGAAGGTATTGGAGTTTTCATAGATATTCATGAATCAAATTCTTCATTTGTTTCTTTTTCTCCCTTTTGAAACTTAAATTCACAAAATTGCAGGATTAGTGGTAAGATTTTGCAATTGGAGAGTGTCACACAGTCAGAAGCCATGAGGAGCGGTATCGCTACTTGAGCCATTTTTCTTTAACAACCACGTTTCAGGTATGCTTCAAAGCTTGCTTAAATAAACAAAGGAAGCTATGGACCATATTCTTCAGCAGCCCCTGCTGGTTATAACCCTGGTTCAGCTGCCAATTCCACCTCTAATGAAGACCTTGGTGGGTCCCACTCCTAGTTTAAGGAAACTAATGTTTACATCACTGGCCAGCAGGTTCGTTTCATTTTTTCTACTTCACATTTTTAATTTTTAATTTTGTTTTGAGTGCTTGAATCACCCATTATACGGATATATTTTCACAGATAGAATGAAGATGTTAGCCATACTTGTATCAAACTATTATGCACATTTTCTATTTTTTTTTAAATATTAAGTATCTCTGGGTTATATGAGAAGGAACGGGACATCCTTATTAAGAAACACATGGTTTTCTATTCTACTTCTAATAGTCATTTGTCTACAGAAGCTTAGTTATGTTGGGATTTATTTAATCTTGACAGGTTTATTTAATTAGTATGTTAGTCTTTGTTATTTAGTAAAGTAAATACTTTGGGTCTTCAATTGAATGGGTCATGTGGACCAAGTATTAGGAGCTGGAAAAGGGGAAAAACGTGGGCTTGTTCTCCTTTAGTTGATTTTAGTTTGTTTAGGGTTCATTAGGGTATGTAGGCTATAAAAGCCTTTTATTTTCTGAATAATATGTGCAGCCGTTTGAGTCACAATTACTTCTTCTTCTTCATCATATTCCTCACGTAACAAAAGAAGGTTGAATCTTTGTTTTGCAGTTGACAAAAGAGGGCCTGATTTCCAACAAGTTATACATAAATGAGTAATTTGTAAATGAGTTTACTCAATTATAACACTTGTTGTTATCTAATTGCAGGTTTCTATTGTAATAGTAAGCGAATATTTTATCACAAGTTGGAGATGCTTAAAAACTTTCAGGTACCACTACTACTACTACAATTCATTATTAAAACCTCGCTATTTTAATCTGTTTTATTTCATATTTTTTATTTGATTTTGATTGCAAGGAACTCGGAGTTTTGTAATCAATTTTATCGGGCTTATTTTGTGCTGATTGTGCAAGAAATATTTGATGTGATGACCGACAGTTTCCATAAACTGGGATTTAACCTGCATATGTTGGTGCTGCAGCACTTATTCTGCCTGGTATGTATATCATCTCTAGTCTACTTTTTATTTGAATCATATGCAAGTATATAGGAGTATAATATATGTTGATGTGGCAAATAATTGTAGGTGGAATCTAGGTCATTAACTGAGCCTTTGTGGGACACGTCAACTGTTTCATATCCGTATCCAAACAACGGGATGTTTGTGAGAGACAGAGAGAGTACACTATTAAGCTTCTTGGTGCCTCTTTTCCAAATATTCCAACATCTGAGGTATAAAAGCTACAACTGCAAGTGATGTTTGTTTATTTATGTTATATTTAGACATCTGATGGATGGATGTAATGTAATTCTTTCAGGTTGCGAAATTTGTGAATGGACTGTGTGCAAACGTGAACCTAATCACTTGACCATTCAGTTATTTCTCAATCTTACTCTGCATCATTCTCTTCCTATGAAAACCCTGAAATGCCTTCAAAGAAACTTTGTCTTCATTAATGCACAAGCCTTCAATATTAACCGATGATGTAGATGCTGCATCAAAGCAAGATGTATCAGGTCAGCAAAGTTTATATTAGTGTTTTTCTACATACAATCATACTTGCCTGCACTTGCACCAAGGATCTACTTTAAACTCAAGCAAAACAAGAACAAGAAAGGAAAGAAAAAACCGGAACAGAGGATAATTACTTGGTGCCAAAGTCTCTTCCTTAATAAGCAAAACAAAGAAGATTCTGAATACAAATAAAGATGCAACACAGACCTATATTTATACTAGACACATAATGAGTTTGACTCTAACACAAAAACTAGGAAGAAACTTAATTTCCTATTTTACCCCTAGAACTAAAAAGCTGTTATTTTTTTATTCATGAGTTGGCATCATGGCTATTATATACAATCAGGGCTGGTCCGTTGATTTAGATAGGTAAAATGTTTTTTTTTTTTATTATTTTCTTAATTGATGATTTTGAATTGTTTTTTTTTGTTCATGAATTTGGTAGGTTAGATAGCCTAGTTGGGTTGTTTGGAGCAGGATGTCAACCAAGTTCAACTAATGACCCTTTTGGCCTACCAAGAATCTCATATGGTCTTGTTAGTCAACTGACAATTTAAATTAGTCAACTCTTATCTGTTGTCTTTTGATTGATTATAATTTATAGTTGTTGATGGGTGTTTTTTTAGGTCCAAGTGTTGGTAGAAAAAGATAGAAACTTGGACTTACAACATGCTTTGGAAGTTGATGCTTCTGTGAAATCTTTGAAAATAGATGTTGTAACAATATGCGAGGTAGACTTATTCTTGTTTCTTGTCATTTGTATTGCATTTGATGATAAGGATTAGGAGGGCCTTTATGTCTTTTTTATAAATCTTTTTATAAAAAAAGATTTATAAATCTTTTTTTATAAATCTTGTTTCTTGTCATTTGCTGCCAAGGTATATATTATTCTTATATAAAATGAAATTGTAAATTTTTATATTCTTTTTTATAAATCTTTTTATATTTTATAAAAAAAAAATTAGGTTGTGGGAAAGGTCTTGCCAGAGCTAAATGGAAAGCTTACTGGAATGGATTTTAGGGTTCATGGTTTGATGGGTTTAACCAACCAAAGATTCTTACGTTATGTTCCACAATTGCCCCTGATACAGGCACGATGCTCTCAACTAGTCGGCCATCAAATCTTTTGAATACATCAACTGGTATTACATGACTTAATGTTTTAATTTGGAACTTGATTGCTTACTGATAGTTGTTTGTCCCTTTTTCTGGATCAGGTTTAATTTGGATTTCAAGCTCACCAGCATCTCCAAGTAATGAGGGATCCGTTACACTTAAGAATATCAGCTTATCAAGAGCATCACTTGCATTACTAAAAGAAGGTTTCTTGTTAGAACTTTTGTTTTTAAAAACGATAAAAGATGGAAATCAAGCATGAAACATGTAGACTGTAGAGATGTTTTTACATGTAAATTTATATATTGTAAGAAATAGAATTGTAAGACATTAAATTTTATGAAATGGATTATATTTTTTGTATATGATATTTTATTTTATATTGTGAGGCATTAAATGCAAATTTAATTTGAAAATTAGTAAATCTATAAAAAATATTTTTTTTTTAACATTTAAAATTATGATACGCAAACATGCGTGTCATCTTCATTTATGACATGGCCTTTCTTGACAGAGGCTTTCTTGATACGCATTGCGTGTCATTAACACGCGCGTCGTAAGGTTACGACACGCGAATGCGTATCGTCTTCTTTTATGACAGGGCCTTCCTTGATACGCATTGCGTGTCGTAACCGAGCGTCGTAAATGCGCGTCATAAATGCGCGTCGTCTCTCTTTATGACAGGGCCTTCCTTGACACGCATTTGCGCGTCGTCTGAGCGTTTTATGACGCGCAATGAGTGTCGTAAAAGGCCTTTTTTCTAGTAGTGAAATTTAAAACGATGAATCGCCAAGGGAATGAGTTTAGATTTACAAACATTGAAAAAAAAAAAAAATAAACGCCAATAATTATTTCATATTACATAAAAATACATTACATAACTTAAATTACTAAAAAAAACATACAAACATAAAATTTCAAACATAAATTAATAAAAATGATGTGGTGTTGATTATGATGGCATGTGCGGAATTAGAAAAGGTCTAGTGAATCATCCTGTATAATCAAGAACACAAGAAGTAAATAATTCTTTTTAAGTTCTCATTAGTTTCATAGAAAGAGTACAAATGGGTCTTGCAATATTTCTCTCTAAACTAATGCTCTCACAAGTGTTTCTTACATAAAATGAGTGTTACTCGCTTCCTTATAAAGGAAAGGCAACCCAGTACACATACAAGTGGGTTAGCCCAAGACTCCACATCTAAGCATGACTTTGCACCCTAACATTCTCCCCCTCAAAGTTAGGATTGGATGTCCCCGCTTTAGTATCTAACGAGCTAGCGCGATCAAGACCAAACTCCCCCTTGAAGTAACACCGGTCTTCAAATCCGCAAACGAATATCCGAGAAACCCGCTTCGAATACCTATCATTCTCCCCCTTTTATAATCAAAAATTGATTATAAAATCCATTAAGGATGAGAAGCGCCCGAGGAATGAACAATACAATACTCCCCCTTGATGTGTACCGAAAATGAATCACCAAAAATCTTGCATGGAAAAACAGTCACGAAAAAACCTCAAAAAAATTTCAATTTATGAAATTTTTTGACTTTTTGGGTAAAAGTTGCAAGATTTTCCAAAAACCGGGTAAAAACCGTCAGTAATAAAATTCTGCAGGGACTCGTTGCGCCAAAAACATCCAAATGCGAAACTTTATCCCATTTGCAAAACTGGGCATAAAGCATAAAATCGCACAAACTGTAGGGACTAGAACTGAACATGCTTCAATTTCTCAGAAAATTTTTTCATTTTCGAAGTTGGGTAATTCTGCCAACTTTTCGAAACTGTAGGGACTCACTTAGAAAATTATCTATTTTTCTTCATATCATACGAAACATTGCTCACTTTACGAAGGCTTGTCAAATTAACGAAACTTTAAGGGTCATATATGAAACTTTTCCTTCTTTCTTCCCTAATTTCGTTTCTCAAACAATTCCCTTGTACGAAATCATCCATGCTTCACTTGGTACGAAACTCCATCCAACACACGAAATTTTCACACGAAATCGAAGCATAACAAAGCATCTCCAGTAAACAGTAACCCATCGTACAAATCAAAAACTCCTTTCGGCCATTTGTTCACAATCAACCTTCGTTCAAACCCAAAACCAAATTTCGTCCATTCGTACTTCCCTTTTATTCATCAATCCAAAACACCAACAATGAACTGTTCGTTCCCAAATCATCGACCATAAACTTTCGTACATCAACGATTTCTAGTCAACAATTCGTTCTTTTGCAAACATCGACAACCCAAACACCCCGCTTTCGAATTGAACTTAAGGAGAAAAAAGAAAGGAAATAAGAGGAAAACAAGAGAGAATGGTGCCCCCGAGTTTCATTAAAGGAAGGAAATGGAAGGAAATGAAATGATCATTTTCCCTCCTAACTTTCCTTCCGATTTGGAAGGATTCGGAAAGAAAGAACAAAATGTTTAATTTTCCTTTTATTTCTCTCCAACTCGGGAAATCTCTTTTGTTTCTTTTCTCTTCTTTCCTATCTTTATTTCTTTTCTCTTCTTTATCTTTTCTTTTGCTGCAACTCGGGAGCGGGGTGAAAGACTCTAGGAATCACAAACATATAAAATCAACTTCGATTTCAAGTTGTACATATCGAATCCAAATCATCAACCACAAAACGATTTAAAATCAGTCTTCGGTTTTTGAGTTTCATTCCGAGCCATATCATCAACATCTTAAAATTGACTCCAAATCAGTCGATGATTCGAAAAACAAATTCTCAAGTCTCAAACACCGACTTCCAACTACAATCGATTCCATTCACAAAATCATATGATCGAAATGCTAAATTTTGATTTTGAAATAATCGAAATTTGGCTTTCTCTTCTCACCAAATTGAAAACTGGAACATCACTTATCAACCACTTCCTTCGTTTCGATCATTGATTCAAACTCCGATTACCCAATCAATCTGATTTTGACTTTTTGAGTTGACTTTTAACAACGATTATCAATAAGCACCAAATCAATTCAACCCCAAAACGTTTTTCAATCATCCCTATATACTTCGAACGAACATGAAAAGCATACAAATCAAAATTATCCGTCAATTTTTGACTTCAATTTGTTCGCAAATTACTTCCAGATATGAACAAAAATCATCAGCTTCAAAAAATCGAACTCCAAATAAAAACGTTCAACCCAATCAACTGTCAAATATTTTGAGAATCAACTTTGAAATAGATTACAATCGATTCGAATATGATCTAAACTCAACCTGGAAGCAAGAACTTGTTGACGAAGCCAAAAATAATTGAGTCAAGATGAATTCCTGTGAAACACTATGATGCACAATTACGAACAACATGTATCGTATAAGTGATATAAGGTGTTGTTGTGCCATGAAGAGTAACAAGTACACATGATTTTGGGCTCTTGGTGATCGAATGACTTTAATTGGATTAAATTGCTCCTAGTTTACTGAAACTGGATCAAAAACAATTGTGCTAAAGACACATGAACAGTACTGGATTATGATAATTTGGGCTTAAGAATCCGAATACCATGGATTATCACTTAATTGGGCTTCGAAGTATTTGGATGAGCTGTAATTTTCGAACTTAAAAAAATTATTTTGAAAAAATAACTTTGATTTTTGGAGTTTGATCTAAGAAAAAAAATTAATTGGATCTTCAAAGGAGTTTGAAATGGATTTGATCCAATTGAGATAAAACGATCAAAAATTAAAAACAAAACGCACGAATCGAAATACCTTTTTGACGAATCGAGTTCCATTTTCAACAAACGAATCGAATTTAGAAGATCTTGGTTCTTTTGTTGGAATGAGAAAGTCTCCAAATCGAACATTGTACCACCCACTTTGCGTGATGTACAACTCGTTCTTCATGTTCTTCGTCGATCCAAGAACATCTTCAAAATAACCACCAACACTATTGGGTTTTGACTTCAATTTCAATGCAACATTTGGAGATTGTTACTTTGGAACCCAAATTTGCTTCACGGTATTCAACTTCACAACATTTGATGATTTTTGTGAGTAAACACGCTTATTTTTCCGATTAATCTTCTTCTTCTTCTTCTTTTTCTTTCTCATCCTTTTGTATCTTGAAGACTTGACTTCATGAACAAACCCACTTTCCACAACTTGAACTTTGTGAGTTTGAATCAACTCTTTTGGAGTTTAATACTTGTGAACTTCTTGAATCACCGGCTTCCGATACGGAATCATTTCTTTTAAACGAATCATAAGAACACACAATATCATCGATTTGAACTCCAATTGAGCAAAAAAAAAAAAAATCATCTTGAAAATCAACTTGAACTCCTTTTTCTTGAACATCAAGAACATCACATTGAACTCCATTGTCAATAACTTCAACAACCTTAAGAGCATGAAGATTATTTGAGTCTTCAATAAGAGAAACATATTTCTTTTTGAACAAATATTTTTCTTCTCCAATCTTATCACTACTACGTGATGATATGGACCATGTAATATCAGCCAACCATTTGATCTCATGAAATGGTGAAATATCAAGCTTCCATGATCATCCTCCAAACCTCCATAAGAAACCATAGTTTCCCAATATATCGAATTGTTTAACACCAAACCATAATATTGATCTTTATTGACTTTGTATTTGATATCTTCAACGATCACAATCCAAGAGTTGTAAAGCAAATTCACCATGATTACAAAAACTTGAAAATTTCTAGAGAGAGAAAGTGATTTTGAATGGGTTTTCTAGAGAGAGAAAGTGTAAATCAAGGAGATCTCTAGAGAGAGAAAGTGAATATGAACCAAATTCTAGTGAGAGAAAGTGGTACAAACAAGTATTCTAGAGAGAGAAAGTCGAATTATGGATCAAATCAAGGAAAAATTCGATTTCTAGAACACAAAACACTCTCAAAACACGAGGATCAATAAGAACATAAAGAATCACAAAATCAAGATAGCCATCAAGGATCAATTCTTGATCCAATCAAGAAGACCCGCTCTGATACCAATTGATGTGGTGTTGATTATGATAGCATGTGCAGAATTAGAAAAGATCTAGTGAATCATCATGTAAAATAAAGAACACAAGAAGTAAATAATTCTTTTTAAGCTCTCATTAGTTCATAGAAAGAGTACAAATGGGTCTTGCAATGTTTCTCTTTCTAAACTAATGCTCTTATAAGTGTTTCTTACATAAAATGAGTGTCACTCACTTCCTTATAAAGGAAAGGTAACCCATTACACATACAAGTGGGTTAGCCCAAGACTCCACATCCAAGCATGAATTTGCACTCTAATAAAAAAAAACATAAACTAGTAGAAATTTAAACCTAAATGACTTTAAATTCATAGAAAATTAAACATAAAA